TGCTGAGCAGACAGCCAGTGGTCTTTTTCTAACTGACAATGTTGAACTTCTCCATTGGCTCTTTCCACAGTAGCTGATTTGATTCCTGTATATTCCATCTGAAGGTCCCTATGTTTATATTGTTGACAACAATATAAATTGCTTTTATTGTTTATATTGTTGAAGAAAGGTGTTTGCAATGAGTAAGTCACTGATCTTGCAAAACTGTAGCACGCGAGCTCCGGTGTTGTTTCCAGCACCGATGTCTACCTTTCAGGCTGCTGATTCTCCTTCTTTCCGCCGTTTGCATTCCAAACGCCAGTCGGTATCAATGACGGCTGATCAGTTTCAGACAGCAGACATTTCTAAAGTTCTTTAACTTCTTCACCATCAGCCTGGTCGTTGCTGCAAAGATTTGAGTAGCCATCTTAACTTGGTTTCCATGTAGGCATGTGGATATTATCCTGTCACGGGCAGCACTGTACTTCGGGATAGTTTTTAAAACGTTGTTTCTGATCATGAAGGAGATGCCAAAGCTCTTCAACTTGTCATTCCCAGCACAGAACATCGTACATTTGTCTGATTTAAAATTGCCGGTGCCAGTCCATTTCAGCTCACTAATTCCTAGAAGACTAATCATCATACATTCCATTTTATTTTGGACGATTTTCCCCTATCCATACATTGTGCATTCTACAATCTAACTATTCATGTACATTTGCAGACGTTTCTCATGTTGAGTTGTGCCACTTTAGCGGAATGAAAACTTACCCGCGACAATGTAATTAAGGGCAACTGTAACAAGGCAGCGCTTCCCCAGGTAGACTTCAGAGCCTTCCAACCTGAAAGACTCCTCAGAAAATGCTCTCCTGTCATCACAAAGTTTTCACTGGCCACTTCTTTTAGAAGCAGATTACTGGATCCTTCTTTCTACTCTTTTTTAGTAGATTACTGCTCCCACAGCTCCACTGAAGCCACTCCAGCATCACAGAAACATGCAAACCACCACAGATGACCAACTGATAGATGAGTGGTGGCCAAAAATCCGATCCCTAAGTCAATACTCACAAGAATTAAAAGAAGTGTTCAAATAAAAACCTGTACACAAATGCCCACAGTCGTACTATTCAGACCAGACAAAGGGTGGGAACAACTCAAATGTTCACCTACTCACAAATCAATGAAATGTCGTGGGCCCAAACAAGGGAATATTCTTTGGTAATAAAGAGAAATGAAGTACTGCTATACCCTAAAGCAGGGGTTCTCAAACTTTTTAAACAGGAGGCCAGTTCACTGTACCTCAGACCAGTTGGAGGGCTGGACTACAGTTTTAAAAAAATGATGAACAAATTCCCATGCACACTGCGCATATCTTATTTTGAAGTAAAAAAACAAATGGGGCAAAAACACCCAGCAGGCCAGATAAATGTCC